ACATTCTTATGTTCTAAGGGTCAGCTCTTTCAGTTCTCACATCCCTTTTATCAGTCTGCTGTTATCAACCCATTCTATTGCCTTCCTGTCTGCGGGGAAGTTGGAGGGGGACAAAACGTGGCCAAACCTTAGGGTCTGGCCAACACATACACTAAGAGCCCACTGAGTGCCCTGCACTTCGCTGAATGCTGGAGCAGAAGACACTGCCTCTGCTTGCCGAGCTCAGGGACAGAACAAGATTTCAGAGCAAATGAGGTGGAGTTTTAAAGCCTTGATCAACAAACAGGTCCCAGATAAGTAGGTACCCTAAGCAGATCTGAGGGTGAGAGGTCACTTCAATTTTGGGAGTCATAGTATAAGAAAACCAATTTAGAGCAGAGATTTTGTGCTAACTAAATTCCAGGGCCACATTAGTTCCCGTCCAGCCTGACCTCCTTCACCTTGTCCATCTCCACTCCATCCTGGGCAGGATCATCATCATGATCATGATAGAAACTTACATTTATTATAGAGCATTTTAAGGTCTTACCATGCTATATCTCCTTTGCTCTCAAGTTTTCATAATAATGACCCTTCAATAAACAAAAATTCCATTATCGTGTTATCAATTAATTTACTAAGACGGGAAAATGGATGTGAGAAACAGTTTCCAACAATAAATGTTTATGGGCCTATGCTAGCCTCAGTACACTGGAAACATGAAATGATCTAGAACACCTCCTCCTTTCCCAACTATAGGCATCCTGAGGTATGAGGCCCTGTGCTGAAGTGTCAAGAGCTCAAAAGTCAGTCAGAAGACCCGAGTGTCAGTCCCAGCTCCCCCTTACCGGCTACACAAGGGGCCCTCTCTGTTCCCCTACCCCCCGTCACTTTCTTCTTCCAAATTTCCTTTTCTGTAAAATGAAATTGTTGAACTAAACACTCTCTAGTGCCCCTTCCAAGATTCTATATTCTATAGGCCCTGCCAACTTTAATGGTCACTATGTGAAAAATATAATTCTGTGCTTTCTCTATAAAAATATAACTGTTTACTAAAACGAAGCATGAAGTTTGCTAATAGAACCTAGCCTTATAGTTCCAAAATAATAGCCAAGATTGAATAAAAATGCTGAGATACATTCTGCTCCCCTTCTCACTACTCTTTAACATTAAGAATGTGAATCCTTAAGGATAGCTAGGTGACGCAAGTGGATTGGAGTCAGGAGGACCTGAGTTCAAATCCAGCCTCAGACACTTGATACTTACTAGCTGTGTGACCCTGGGCAAGTCACTTAACTCTGGTTGCCTAAGCAAAAAAATAAAAAGAATGTGAATCCTTTCCCTAAAGCTTTAAAGTGAGACCCTTCCAGTCTCTTAGCTCCACCAGTGTGACTTCAAAGTCCCTGGCAACTGGAGCTTAAATCTTCCTGAAAGCTCCCATACTCTAGGAAATGGCTGCTATCACAGCCTTTCTCTCACTTAGCTAGAGAAATAACTGCCCACAGGGGTCCTCCTCAGAGCTTTGCGTTTAAATGGACTGTGCCCCTTTCCTAGAACAGACATTTAAAGAGCACAGAACACAGTTTTAAAAGAAAGCTATAAAGTACTCTCTGTTTTTGGTTATCCTCCAGGACATGTAATTTAGTATCTCTTGCTTCCCTTTCTAATCCAGATTCAGGAATAAGGCAGCTAAACGGTTGCTATGACAACCTAGTCCATTCCTACAGTCCTGAGGGGCCCTGATTTCAGATGGTCTGCCAATCTGGAGGCTAGGATGGTCAGCTATGCATGATCAGGTTTCCCCAGCACCAGGAGGGAAAACCCACTCCCTCCCTCTTCCCCAGAAACTGTCATTGACCACAGCTGCTGCCTAACGCCTCGGGGACCAGGAGATCAGGGGCAGAGGAGGGGCATTTAATGCAAACTCCATCCTGCTGCTATTCTCCAGGCACCGTCCATTTTGCAGAGACACTCACACTTATCCTTAGCCAAGAGATCTAATCTAAGAGGGCACTGGGGCCTGACCATCTAAGAGAATATATATGTGTGTGTGTGTGTGTCTGTGTGTGTGTGTCTTTGTATCTCTGTAGCTCAAGGTAAAACAGGAATTTGGGGCAATCATCCATTCTTTTGGTTTTTATCTCTCATTCCTCTCTCAGTGATGCTTTGAACTTTACCACTCTGTCTCAGGAGTCGTACAACTCTAGAACAACCCTCTGCCCCTTCTCCCACTAGCCAGTTCCTCTCTGAACCTCCATTTTGAGGATGGATTCAGGTCTGCTATTCATCATTCCTCTCCCACCTCTGGCTTCTGATTCTCCTAATTTCACCTTCACCTCAGCTCCCTTTTGTGTGTTTTCTTTCTCTTTAGAATGTAAGCTCCTCTACAAAAATGTGCATACCCTCTGATCCAGCAATAGCACTTCTAGGACTATATCCCAAAGAGATCAAACAAATGGGAAAAGGACCCACATGTACAAACATATTCACAGCAGCTCTTTTTGTGGTGGCAAAGAATTGGAAATTGAGAGGATGCCCATCAATTGGGGAATGGCTGAGCAAGTTGTGGTATATGAATGTAATGGAATACTGTTGTGCTAAGAAACAATGAACAGGCTGACTTCAGAAAAACCTGGGAAGACTTATATGGTCTGATGCTGAGTGAAGTGAGCAGAACCCAGAGGACTTTGTATACAACAGCAGCCACGTTATGCAATGACTAAGAATGTTAAACTGAACCCTTCTCAGCATTACGAGGATCTAAGACATCTCCAGAGGCCTCGGGATGGAAAATGCTGTCCACATCCAAAGAAAGAACTATGGAAGTCGAATTGCTCTCACTTATTTTTACTTTCAGTTGAGTTTTGTTTCATCTTTCTGATGGTTCCTCCTATTGGTTTTAATTTTTACTTACAACCTCACTAATGTGAAAATATGTTTAATGGGTATGTAAATGTAAAGCCTGTGTCAGATTGTGTGCCGTCTTGGGGAGGGTGGGGGGGAGAAAAAGGGAGAAAAAATTTTCAACTCAAAAGCATATGGAAAAAAAAATAAAAAAAATTACAAAATGGAAAAAAAAAAAGAATGTAAACTCCTTGAGACAGGCCTTGTCTTTTTTGTTTTTGTTTTGTTTTTACTTTCATGTATATCCTGTGAAAAATGTTTTCTCCTGGTAATCTGTGTTTTGGAAACTCAGAGTTCCACCCTGCCAGTCTTCTGTCCAAAGTTGTTCAGAAGGACATCTCTGATAATGAGATTGCATTGAATCTTCTTATCTTGGTCAAACTCCAACCCAGGCCTGAACTGATTTTATCTTACGCAGGTTTGGGTGGAGACAGACTTCTAAAACTAGGAGTGATATTTCCTTTGATGGAGGGTGATATTAGCCCCGGTGGGCTCAGTGATCTAAGGAATTCACCCACCTCCTAGTGTGGTGACCAGTCACGGTTGATTGGCACCCCGTTGGGAGCACTTACTCTTCAAAGGGCATATAGTGATGGACCGCCAAATCCCAAACCGAGCCAGTTCTGAACTGACCCCCTGGGGGGGTGCAGTTTTGCATTGAAATCCCATGCAATGTATGTCAAACCACTTTGAGAAATTAAACTGTGGACACATGTACCCCAGTTTTGTTTGTCTCTTTCTTAGGGCAGACTTTGTTTCAAATTGGGGTTTGTGGGGTTTGTGGGGTTCAGGGTTCACAATCCGTAGCATGTAGCAGTGGCTGGCACGTTGTAAGCACTTAATAAAGTTCATCTAGCCCCTCCATCCAAGCCAGCGACTTTATCTACCATAACAATGTAATTCTCAACCATACACACTTCTCTGTCATCTATTCCTTTTTCTTCTCTGTTGACTGTATCTCTAATTTGCCAGGTCGTCTATTCACCTCCTGTCCCTCAGTTCTACTAGGAACACCTGGACCTTACAGGATCATTGCCCTTTGTAATGAAAGGAATTGTCATTTGTGAACTTAATGTCAAGATGCGTTATTCTTTTTTTTTCTTTCCTGAGAGGTGCAATATTATTGTGTGCAGAAGCTTTTCTCTCTTTTCTCCCTCCTCCTTCCATCCCTTCTTGGGAAGAGGAAAAAGTGATTACTTTTTTTTTGTTTGTTTTTGCTAGGCAGTGGGGTTAAGTGACTTGCCCAGGGTTACACAACCGGAAAATGCTATGTGTCTGAGGCCGGATCTAAACTCAGGTCCTCCTGAATGCAGGGTCAGTGCTCTATCCACTTCGCCACCTAGCTGCCCCCAAAAAGTGGTTACTTAATAATGATGTAGGAATGTGAATGGGCCAGCAGCAATCAGGAGGTAATATAACTAATGTGACCCAGGGAGCCCTGGGCTTGTAGGCTGAGGAATGTGTCAAAATGTGAGGATGCCAGCAAAGGAGGCACAGCTGCGCACCCAAGGCTGCTCGGGCAGCCTGCTATCTGGAGATGTCAATTATTCCACAAGCCTATTTAAGGGCATCAGAAGGACCTGAGTTCAAATCCGGCCTCAGGCACATGATACTCACTAGCTCAGTGACCCTGGGCAAGTCACTTAACCCCGATTGCCTCGCACAAACAAACAAAAACAGAATTGGTATTGGTCTTAGAATGGTTGGAAAGTACTGGATATGACAAAAGAAAGACCACAGAATCCAAAAAAGCATGGGAAGACTTACATGAACTGATGCAAAGTGAAGTAAAGGTAGCCAAGAAACACTATGCACAGCTACAACAATGTGATGGAAAGTACAATTGGGAAACAACCCAAAATGAATGTCACAAAATTGCAAGGAACAAGCGTGGCCCCCAAGTGGAGATATGAGAAAACCCCTCCTCCCTCTGCTGCACAGAGATGGAGGGATCCAGAGCTGTGGGACATTGTATGCGATGTCAGATGTGCTTTCAATGTAGTGATTGGTTTTGTTGGATTTTTTTCTTTTTCCTCTTTAAAAATATTCTTTGTTATAAGGGATGGCTTTGTAGAAAGAGGAGGAACACAAGGCAAAACGTAGGCACTGTAAAAAAGTGACATCAATAATCAGTTTTTTAAAAAGGACAATGGATGGAAGGCTGGAATGGAGCTAACTCCATTAACTTCAATAAACTTGAAGAGTTTCCATGGCTGAGAGTGTCTATGTTGAATGCTTACGGGTTTGTGGGGAGGCGTGTACTTAGGAGTGAGAATAGAGAGTGAGTATACTGTACCTAGTGGCACTGAAGCAGCTATTCATCTAGAGCAGTCTATGTGAGGCTTGGAAGAAATGAGCAACTAAGTAGAAGGGTGCATTAAGTGAGAATTACAGGAAGTGTCCAATTGATCAGCCTCAGATTTTCACAGATACCTGGCCTGAGCGGCACAGTATTTAGGAATTTGGGTCTTAGTGTCCCCTCCCTCACCCACTAGGCATAGATGTGAGTATGGAAGAATCATGATGACTGTCTACCCACCAGACTTATCTGAATTGGGCACTTCCTAGATTGTTTTGGTAAAAATAATGCCTCAATGAGGGACACAAGCAACCCCAACATATGGGGCATGAATAACTGGGTGACAGTTATTTGACAGAAGGAACTGGTGCAGCGTACCCCTGTGGGCTAACCCCAATTTGGCATTTTATGTTCTAGGATTTGAGTTGCCATCTTCTTTGAAGAACCAGAACAGAATAACAAGTAGCTATGTTGGTTGCTGGACTGAAAGGGAATTATGTTGTCTGTAAACTCGGCCAAGCAAACTTTTGGGAAATAGGATGGCTACCAAGCAAGTAAAATTCTAGCACCCAAGTGAGTAGGTCCTAGAATTGTACACCAAGAGACAGTAATAGCTAGAGAACATGAAAGGCAATTTGGAATTTGGGATGCTGGTTTTTTCACCTAGGAGGCAAGGCTTTTCAGAAACCAAGAAAATCAGGGAGGGGCTAGGCCTTCCCAGACAGGGTTTAAGGATTGGGAAAGTCTGGGGAGTGTTAGGAATAACTTTACATCCATGATGGATTTTCCACTTGTGCATCAGAGAGGAGTGAGTACTGGGGACTGGGAGGGAGTCACTGCTCTAAATAGCACTGGCATAGTCATCAGATCAGCCAATATTTGGCTACTTGTTCTTTAGTGATATGGATGGAAGTCATTAATGGCCCAGGTAATGCTAAAGTTCTACACTCCCCTTTGTGTTATGTGCAGCCCTAACTCTTTGGGATAGGCAGGCAATCAACTAACGTGGTAGGTCTATGCTCCCTGGAGCATAGTATGGGTCTGTGTGTGAGTCCACAATCAGCTTAACCTTGCTCCAAAGTCCAGACACACTGTATTAAACTGATGATACATGTCATATAGGTGGCTTAGAGCTACAGATCTGGTCCTTGGTGACTGAACTCCATCCTCTGCACCTACCAAAGAGAATGCTAGCAATAGACAGAAAACAAAGAAAGGAGAAAGCTTTGGGCCAAGCTCAAGGTCCTCTGTGTTGGTTCTAGGAAGGAGCTCCCAGCAAGCAAAACTGATGGACCAGAAGAGGATGCCCTGTCCTGTAAGAACAGATGAATCCCATGACATCAGAAACATAATCTTTCTTCCAACAGGAAGGTTCTTAGAGGAAAAAAGGAAGGGGTTGGGCAGAGAATAGCCAAACCTTTCATCTAGTGAGAGAGGAAGAGAGATGAGAGTTCAGATGAGTATGTTCTTATCATTAGCTTTTCAGGCTTCTGTAGTTTTCCCAGGTGCTGAGAAGGAAAGCCCTGCGGAGTCCGGTGTCCCTCTGGGCTTGAGTCGGTAGCAAATGGTGATGTCATGCTCTGGCTGCATCAGTCCGAACCCATATCTACTGGAGTCAAAGCTGGGGATCTTTTCCTCTGGATTTTTCAATTTCAGATCAAACTGCATCAGCAAAATAATAACAAACCTGCGGAGAGATGGACAATCAGTGGCAAAATGGGCAGCTTCAGTTTCCTCATCTGTAAAAGTAGACCCAATTCCCCTCACCACCTACTTCATGGTGCTTTTGTGGAGGTGGGTACGTGTTTTATGCATCCGGTTAAGCTAATGTCCCTGGTGGCAGGATCTGTTTTCACTTTTGTCTTTGTAACCTAAGTTACGTGCAATGCCTGGCACGTAGTAGGCTCTTCATAAAAACTTCTTGATTAACTTGACTGATTAAACAGCTAGGATTGTCCTGGGGTTTGAAGTAAAAAAGGATCGAATTGGAAAGGCTTGGACGATTACTAGCTGTGTGATCATGGATGGGTAAATCATTTACTCTCTTTGTGCTTCAGCTTCCTCATATAGAAAATGGGAATGATAATATTTGTGCTACCTCCCTCACAGGGTTGGAATAAGGAAAGGCCTCTGTACATCTTAAATGTACAATGCAAATGTGCATTTTCATTATTATGATAGAACCAAAGGGTTTAATGGAATTTGAGTTGTACGGGACCGCAGAGGCCATCTTCCCTTCTCATCTACCATATTGGTCTTGGGGCATGCAGGAGTAAGGAGACAAGAGAAGGAAAGGAGAGAGGCAGGAAAGCTGAGAGGAGAGGAAAAAAGAGGGAAGCCAGTTCACTTGCTGTCTCCTCCATCTCCCTCCTCTGGCATCCACTGTCCTTATAATTCACAAGGTTCTTAACCAATGACATAAGCCATTCTATGCACCCTACCCTTTCTTGGTTTGCATCCCTGTAAAATGCCGCGCTTGAATTAGAAGGTCCCTTCTAGCTTAGATCATTCTGTGAAGAAGCATCTTCACATAGTGCAGAGTGCTGGACCTGGAGTCTGAAGTCCCACATTCAAATCTCAAGTTTGATTATTTTTGTTCAGTTGTTTTCAGTCACGTCTGACTCTCCATGACCCCCATTTGGGACTTTCTTGGCAGAGATACTATAGTGGTTTGCCATTTCCTTCTTCAGCTCATTTTACAAATAAGGAAACTTAAGCAAACAGGGTTAAGGGACTTGCCCAGGGTCACACAGCTAGTAAGTGTCTGAGGCCAGATTTGAACCCAAGAAGATGAGCCTTCCTGACTCCAGGCCCAGCACTCAGTCCACTTTGCCACCCAGCTGCCTATGAGCATGCACTCACCTGAGTGACCTTGGGCAGGTTACGTCCCTTCTCTGGACCTCAGCTTAATCCTTTGTCCAAGAGGAAGGCTATTTGGACACTGGTGGGATTTCTAGACTACAGACATCCTGCCCGTTATAATGAAAGGGACAATCTTTGCAAATTTGGTGGAGGAAGGAATGCTCAAAGTATGACTATGAGTAAATCCAAGTCCTAGTTTCCTTACTTGTAAAATGGGTATAACACCAACCTCCGCATTGTGGGGATAGCTCTTTAGGAACCTCAAGGTGTTATAAAAATGTGAGATGGACTAAGGTACCTCTTAGTTGCAGTCGCAAGAGCACAAGATTAGTGTCACAGGTTCAAATCTCAACTCTGCCACTTCCTACCCATGTGACCTTAGGCAAGCTAACCAATCTTTCTGGGGGTGGGGATCGTGTCTTATTCTTCTGTGTCCCCCACTGTTCCAAAGATAAGATTGGGCACATAGACTCTGCAACCTTATTCTCAGGCCAGCCTGGGTGCCTCAGAAATCTGGTGCTGAAGTACGTGGAACCAGGAATCAGGGCTTATTAGGTTTGAAGTGGCCCTGAGCTCATCCTTTGCAATAGTTTAAACATGGCAATAAATCAGCTTGAGATAAAAGGTTCAAAATGTACAAAAGTAGCTGCCCCAGAGAAAGCTGAACAGTCTGTCCAGCGTCTTAGCCAGGGAGGTTTCAGATGAGTGACTACTCCTGCCAAGGCATTCTTAGTGAGGAAAGACGGTGGAAGCTCCCAAATGTCCATCCAGCCCTGGAACATCAGGTACTTTATTTAGAAAGCGAAGAGGTTTGTGCAGAAAACCCGGAGGCCTGGGTTCCAATCCTGGCTCTGCACTAACCTGAGTGACCTTGGGCAGATTACGTCCTTTCTCTGGTCCTCAACTTAATCCTTTGTCCAAGAGGAGGGCTATTTGGACATGGGTGGGGTTTCTAGACTACAGAAGTCCTGTTCATTATAATGAAAGGGGCAATCTTTGCAAACTTGGTGGAGGAAGGAATCATTTATATGTTAAATTAAATCCTGACCTTTCCGAGGTAGTGGAAATTCAACAAATATTAAGAGCTTACTATGTACAGGCCTCTTTGCTAAGTGGTGGGAACACAAAAATGAAAATAAACCGATCCTTGACCTCAGGGAACTTATGTCCTACTGAGGATACAACACGTTTGCATGTAAATAAACAGGAAATATATACAAGGTGATTTCAAGAGAAAGAGAATGTTCCAAACCAAGGATTTGGCCCTGTCTTTCTTCCCTCCATGGTAAGGGGGAGAGAAAATTAGCTGAAGTATTGAATTCTCTGGGCCTCATCTTCCTCCTCTGTAAAAGGTCTAGCCTAGATTATCTCTAAGGTAGCTGTAATCTCTGAATCCTGTGGGTTCACCCAGTCTCTAAACACAGTGAGTTCAGCCAGCTCAGGGGCTTGAAAAATTAGAGGGATAGTGGCTACAAGTCAGGTTCAGGAGTTAGGAGGTTTAGTGAGTGGCAAAAAGGTGAAAAAAGTGTCTGATGGATGAACAGTGTCCCCTAGACAAGCCCTGAGAGGAAGAGCCAGTGGCCAACAAAGCTGACCATAGGGCAGTGAGGCCTGAGGCCCAGGACAGGAGCCTTTATTATACTTACTGTTTTATGCTGCTGATCGCATGACTCCTTCCCAGGCACGTGTTCGTCCCAGCTCCCCAAGGCAGGGTGTAATTCTTGAGCCTCTTCCCACCTTTGTAGAAATCTTGCTTCTCACTCCCATCTTGGTTCAGGAACCGGTTGTACTTGAACTCCTGAAACACGAGTCCGTTTTCTATTATTTCCAGAAGGAGGTAAATTAGCAAAAAGGAAGAAATTAGAATTTCCAATTCCCAAGCTGCCTCAGAGCCTCAAACCTTGGGACATGGTCTCAATTGTCTTCTTTTCATAGGCTGAAAACCTGGCTGAAATATATATAATGTGTAATATATATTCATTAGACTGTGAGCTTCTTGAAAGCAGAGACGGCTTTTTGCCTTTCGTTGTGTCCTCAGCACAATGCCCAGCCAAAAAAAATACTTTTTGACTTGACTTGTTTAGGAAAGAAGTATGGTATAGTGGAAGGGGTACTGGCTTTAAAAAGGACCTGGATTTGAATTCCCTTTTTAACATTTAGTATTTGTAAGTACATTTACTACTGGTAAGACCTTGTACAATCCCTTAAGCCCTCTGGACTTCATGTTCCTCTTCTGCAAAGTGATGGCTCTGGCCTAGATGACTGGATCTGTGGTCCCATGTATACGTAGGTATGCATGCATGAACATATTTATGGATGTGTACATTAAAACTGGAACTTACCATCTTAGACCATCAAACCTTATATAACATCTACTCAAACACTTATCCTAAAGAGAGGAAACTGAACCCCAGAGAGGTAAATAATTTTCTTTTTTAATTTTCTATTTATCCACCCAAAATTTATTTTCTATTTTCATATAACTAATAAATGATAAAGTCAGAATATGTACTTGAGTCTTCTGGCCCCAGATTCAGCACCTTAAAAAAAATTACACTATGCTGCTTCTTGTTAGGTATATCTGCATGTTGTATGTATGTATGTGTATATGTATGTATATGTTTGGGAGCACATATGTGCATGTAATGATTTTTTGTTTGAGTATATATGTATACCTGTGTTGGGCTCTGGCCACGTCAAATGAACCTCACAAAATGCTACATTATTACATGGAATTGACTCTTGCAACCTGCTAGAAAGTCAGAGAGGTACCTTGACTAGATTAAAGGAGCTCCTGGATTCCAGTACAGGGAAGGGAAGGGAAAAGAAGGCAATAAGATTTATTGAGTGCTTACTATATGCCAAGCACTATGCTATGACTTTACAAATATTACCTCAGTGGATCTTCACAACAATCCTGTGAGGTAGATGCTCTTAATATTCCCATTTTACAGTTGAAGAAACTGGGACGAACAGAAGTTCAGTGATTTATCCAGGGTTTTACACAGCTATTTGTTGTTGTTTCAATGTTTCAGTCATATCCAACCCTTGGTGACCTCACTGGGGGTTTTCTTGGCAAAGATGCGGGAGTGATTTGCCCTTTCCTTCTCCAGCTCATTTCACAGAAGAGGAAACTGAGGCAAGCAGGGTTAAGTGACTTGCCAAGGGTCACACAGTTAGTAAGTGTCTGAGGCCAGAATTGAACTCATGAAGATGAGTCTTCCCAGCTTCAGGCCTGGCACTCTATTCATTGCCCCACTTACCTTCCCAAGCTAGTAAAAGTAACTCTGATCTTCCTGACTCCAGGCCCAGCACTCTATCCACTGAGTCAACTAGCTGCTGCTACTCTTGTCCATCTGCCAGGGGCAGCACCATGTCCACTGGGACCTCCTGGGTAATAAAGGGTGCAGCTAGTACAGTGGCGTTATGATCCAGGGACTTAGGCTGAGGAGCGTATCAGCCTCCAAAAAAGGAGATGGGAAGCACAGCCAGCTTGGCTGGGAACAAAATGGTGTAAGGAAGACAGCCCTGAGCTTCCAGCAGAGAAAACACAACTGCTCTCAATACCTCCTGCCTAGAATTCTGCAGTAGCCTCCTAATCACTCCGCTCTCTAATCTATCTGCAGTAAATGCTTGTTGGATGGACAGATGGATGAATGAGTGGATGAATGCATGAACAGGTCACAGGGGCACCTGGAACTCAGTGTGTCCCAGGAAATTAGGATAGGTGTCATCTTCCCAAGTCGTTTCTGGAGATCATTCATTGAAAACAACAATTTCAGCTTGTATCAAACAAACTGTTTCATATCTTATTGAGAACAATCATGGTATGGTGGAAAGAATACTAACCTTATTGGATTCAGACCCGGGTTTAAACCTCCATTTTAGCATTTACTAATTGTGTGACTTTGGGTAAGGAACTTCATGTTTCTGGGCTTTCTGCAGCTATAAAATAGAGACTGCTATTCTGAGCGGGGAGGGGTGGGGAGGAGGAAGGCTTTTAAAGTATTCTGCAAAGATGAATGAATGACCCTGTCGGGTAATGATGTAATCTCCATTTTACAGATGAGTAGACTGAGGCTGAGAGAAATTGGAAGTGACTTGTCAGAGTCACACAGTTGGTAAATGATAGAATCAAAGTTCAAACCAGGTCTTCCGAATCTAAGCCTTGGGATCTCTGTGCAAGAAAAAAACTCATTCCCCTCTTGATTTCCATAAAAAGTTAAGCCAGCAGGGTAGCCATTTGTTACCTCTGGGTCCTCGTAGATTTCTGGGTCCCTCTGAGGACTGAGGAAGGGGAAGAGGAGGAGGCGGTCACCTTGCCGGAGGCTGTACTCTCGTCCGTCTGCCAGGGGCAGCACCAGGTCCACCAGTACCTCTCGGGTGATGAAGGGGGCAGCTGTCAATCTCAGGCTCTCACTTAACACACTGTCTGCAAGGAGCAGGAAGAGAAAGATGAGACAGCGGCAGGGTAGCAAGGGAAGGATACTTTGGGGTTTAGGTTGAGTGTCGTTATTGAGTCATTGAAGTCATGTCCGATTCTTTGTGGCCCCATTTGGGGTTTTCTTAGATCCGGGAGTGCTTTGCCATTTCCTTCTCCGGCTCATTTTACAGATGAGGAAACTGAGGCAAACAGGGTTCAGTGACTTGCCCAGAGTCACACAGCTGGTAAGTGTCTGAGGCCGGATTTGAACTCAGGAAGATGAGTCTTCCTGATTCCAAGCCCAGTGCTCTGTGCACTATGGCGCCACCTAGCTGCCCCTTAGGCTGAGCAGGAGGCATCTAGATAGTTCTAGGTTCAAGGGCCTCAAATTATTTCTCCCACTGTGCCCGTGTTTCTCCAGCGCTGCCTTGGGGTACAGGGTTTTCTGAATCAGGTGTTAGGAGACCTCTTAGCTGTGTGACTGAGTAAATCACATCACTTTTCTGAATTTCAGTTACTTCATTTGTAAAATGGAGATAACGATACTTGCCCTACCTCTCTCCTTTAAAGGGCTCTGTAAACCTTGATGGAAAACAGAAAGGTGAGCTGTTATTTTTTTACATGCAATTTTATTTTTTCTCAATTACACATAAACAAAAACCTTCAACAGTTATTCTTTAAAATTTTGGGTTCCAAATTCTTCCCCCCCCCACTCCCTCCCCTTAGCTATTGTCATTATTGATACAGAGGCACTGTAGCCTGGTAGATAGACAGCAGGAACCCAGACCTGGGTTCAAGTCCCACCCTTGAAACAGATTGACTGTGTGACTGTGTAGGCTACTCTTTAAACTAGCAGTTGCAGAGAAGGTGCTGTCCTGCATTGGTAGAGGGAGCTACCTTACCTGGGAATTCCCTGTCCAATGACATCTCAGGTCCAGGCTAGATCAGCTGAGATAATATCTGAATAGAACTTATCACAGCTCCTGATGCTTAATAAATGCTTCTTCCACCCATCCCTATCCCTGATTATCTAGACAGAAACCTCAATAGGGTAGGGGAAGGCAGTGAACCAGGCTGCCCAGGTTGGAAGGAAATGCCCCTTAAGAATGTCCAACTTCCTTCACTTTGATTCTATGCTCACCAAGTGACCCTCTCATTTATAATTTGGCTTCCTGAGTGAACCTGCAAAAGAGGAGGCACCAGCGACCAATACCAATCACCTTGCCCCTGTCGTAGTAATAAAATAAAAATCCTGATGATAATAACAGCTTCTATTTCTATAACATGTTGTAGAATATGTTATTCTATATAACATACATAGAATGTGTTATTCTTAACTTTACCAATCACTTGGTACTACCCTCACACCAATCCGTTGTAGAATGACTGGAACATATTAGGTGCTTAATAAATGCTTGTTGTCTGACCATTGACTTATATAACAAAGAATATACACAATGACCACAGTGATAGAAATGGAAAGAACAGCAAAGTCAATCTGTGAGACAAATAGAGCAAGCATTCCTAGACCCATCTCACCAATGAAGAGACGAAGGCTCACAGTAGCAAAATTTTGCTCAGAGCACATGCTAATGGGGGTAGAACTTGAGCTTAGGTATCTTGATTTCTGAAAGGAAGAAACAGGCCTCCTTCACAGGCTCAGAATTTAGAATTTAACTTCCTCTTTTGGAGCCTTAAAACTCAAGGGGAGCAAACCAAGATCACGAAGTGAAAGGGCAGACTCCAGCCCTCTGGTGACCCCAGCGGGTGCCAAAACCCAGTGAGGCCCAGCCTTTATCTTTCTTGGACCCTTCTTTTACTGTTGGTAGAGGAAGCCATTCAAGGATGGAAGACTCAGATGGCTCAGAGTGCTCTGAGAATTCACAGGATCAAAGTGGGGAGCTCTTAAGGAAAGAATCCAATTTAAAATTTAGTGAATGGGGCAGCTAGGTGGTGCAATGGATGGAGCACTGGCCCTGAGTTCAAATCCAGTCTCAGACACTTGACTCTTAACTAGCTGTGTGATCCTGGACAAGTCACTTAACCCTGGCTGTCTCGCAAAATAATAATAATAATAATAATAATAATAATATAATAATAATAATAATAATAATAATTTAGGGAAGGACAGGAAGAGGACTCAAAGGTCTCTTCCTGAGGTAGTAGGATGCCTGGCAGACGGTGAGCCAAGCCCATGGAAGAATCCAGCATTCTGTTTCCTCCCTATTCCGCTGGTGGAGAAAAAGGGAAAGAAGCTAGGCTAGGGCCTTGAGAATGCTGCCTTCTCTGGGGTCTGCTTTCTCTGTGATACCCAAGCTTGTTGAGTGTTGGGACTGCCTCTAGCCTGGAGATGTTACTTCTCATCCTGGTCTTTCCTGTGGCTAAATACTGGGGATGGGCGCCCCAAGTAGGAGGGACAGAGTGAAAGAGCAGGGATCACTTACCAAAAATAGGCATGCTATCCAGGACTTCCTGAGGAATACTGGCCATTTCGGACAGCACCCACCCTTCCTTCTGGAGGGAACTTTCTAGCTCCCCAAGGACAGCAGCAAGAGCAGTGGGAGTCTTCAGGAGGAACAACAGTAGCCAGAAAGCAGCAGGACCAGCATTGCCCTAGAAGGGATAATCCATCCCCACCCAACCCAGCAAAGAAAATCTGGTTATACACCACTCTTAAGAACAATGGTAACCATCTTGATGTCCCGGTGTCTACGCTGATATCATGTTTCAGCATGAAGTCAAGAGCATAATAATTATTATTCCAATTTTACAAATGAGGAAACTGAGTCAAATCAAGATGGCATTTAGGTTATTCTTTGTATGATGGAAACAAGCTCTAGCCTTGGAATCCATAGCAGGGTTCCCATCCCACTGGCTTTACCCCAAGAACAAACACTTTAAAAATACTGAAAAATGTGTAAAGCACTGTACTGGCCATTGGGGAGATATAAAGTTTGAAAAAATCATAGACCCTGCCCTCTTGGGCAGGGCAAATTATTTTCTACATCTGAATTTTTTCAGCAGCAAAGTAGGGATTAGCAACCCTCCCCACAAGGGGCAAAAAAATACTTTCAAAAATTACTATGAAAGAAGCACCTAATATTGAAATTTAATTAAAACCTAATAGAGGGAGATTGTGGGAAGATGGCAGAATAAGGCAGAAAATGCCCTGACTCTCCCACACTCTCCTCCAAATAAGTTAAAACAATGCCTCAAATTGAATTTTAGAGTAGTAGAAATAATAATAATAATTTAAAAAGTCAGGGCAAAGCAGTTGTCCAGCCTAAGACAACTTAGGAGGCTGTTGGGAAAGACCTGACCTATTGAGGTGATGGTCTCATGGGGGTGAAGGGCAGACACCACAGTGTTAACAAACAACAAGCCTTGGGGGAAGCTGTGTCAGGGGCAGATGCAGCTTTGGGACCTTTCGCCCCCTGGGTTGGTGGCTGATCAGGGGATGATTTCGGGGGTCCTCTGCTGGCACTGAATATGGGACCCAGGCACACTGACCAGACACAATCCCAGGATGTGGCTACTGTTGAGGAGAGGGGAGTGAGTGAATAAGGTCACAGAGGGGTGGGATGTAGAGAACGGATTGTGGTCACTTGCAGGACAGCATTGTTCCTGGTTTGGATTCCAGGGTAGAGGGGCGAACTGATACTTGCTGGCCACAGGAGAACTGTGGGAACAGTTCCAGGACAGCAGGGGGTGAAAGGCTTTGCCATGGCAGTGTTGAGGGGCAGTTGAGCCTGGTCATGGCTCAGGGGTGGAAAGGAGTACTTGAGGTCACTCATAAACCAAGGCACAAGCCAGAAGAGCAGTGAACACACCTGGCCTTGGATCACAGCACATTGGAAAAGACAAGAATTCAAAAATACCCCATCCCCAGAGAGAGGTCTGAAAACAACAGCAAAAAAACCCCCCCAAAAAACAAAACACAAAAAACCCAAAGCTTGAGACATTGTCCCCTACAGCCCGGGAGCAGAATCTGACCATAACATTAAGTTAACAACCAAGAAAAAGGCTGTTAAAAATGTATAAATAACAGAAAAAGAACCTGACCATACATAGTTACATGGTGATAGAGAAGATCAGGGTTCAAACTCAGAATAAGACATCGAAGTCAGAACAACTACTTGTAAAGCTTCAAAGAAATTTGTAAAATGGTCACAGGCTCAAAAATAATTTTTTGAAGACTTCAAAAGGACTTTGGAAATCAAATAAGAGAGGTAGAGGAAAAATTGGGGAAAGAAAGAAGAGTAATGTAAGAAAATTATGAAGAAAAAGTCAACCAGTTGGAAAAAGAGGTCAAAAAACTTACTGAAGAAAGTAACTCCTTAAAATTAGAATTAATTTATGGAATAAAATAATAAAAAATTAGAATAGAAAAATTAGAAGCTATTGATTTCATAAGATATCAAGAAATAACAAAACAAAACCAGAAGAATGGAAAAATAGAAGAGAACATGAAATATCTCATTTGAAAACAGGGACTACCTGAAAGTCATTATCAAGGAAAAAAAGTCTAGACATTATACTTCAAGGAATTATCAATAAAAATTGTCCTGATGTTTTAGAACCAGAAGGTAAAATAGAATTGGAAAAAATGCACTGATCACTACCTGAAAGAGATCCCCACATGAAAACTCACAGGAACAGTATAGCAAAATTTCAAAGCTCCCAGGTCAAGAATAAAATATTACATGTAGCTAGAAACAATTCAAATATTGTGGTGCTACAGTCAGGATAACACAAGATTTAGCCACTTCTACATTAAAAGACTGAAGGGCATGCAATATAATAAGGTAATCAAGGAACAAAGGAATTGGGTTTGCAACCAAGAATACCCTACCCAGCAAAGCTGAGTGTAATCCTGCAAGGAAAAAAATATCTATTTAATGAATTAAAGGACTTTCAGACACTCTTGAGAAAAAGACCAGAACTGAACAAAAAATTTGACTTTTAAATACAAGAATCAGGAGAAATATAAGAAGGTAAACATGAAAGACTACCTCCATTAATAAGTTTAAACTGTTTACTGTCTTATATGGGAAAATAATACCTATAACTCTTAAAAATACATTGTCATTATTGGAGTAGTTAGAAAGTGTATACATAGACAAAAGGCTTGGGTTTGGGTTGATTATGATAGGATAATCCTAATACATAAAATTAGGTAGAGAAAAGCAAAATGGAGCAAATTATCTCATACAAAAGGCATGAATGAAAGAATTTTTATAGTGAAGGGGAGCATGGTTGGAGAGGGGGAGGCATTATACTCATCACAACTGAGTTGAAGAAGGAATAACAAATACACCTGGTTGGGTATGAAAGTCTTCTTAACTCACAGAGAAATAGGAGGATAAGAGAGGGACTCTTAGGTGTACATATAAGGGAGGCAGTGGTCAAAATCAAACAACACTTCTGAGGAGGAATGGGGAGAGGGAGGGGGGGGAGAGAGAGAGAGAGAGAGTATGATAAACCATGAGAGGAAATAGGATGGTAGGAAATATACAACTAGCAGTAGTAACTTTGATTGTGAATGAATAAACTCACCCACAAAATGGAAACAGATAGCAGAATGTAACAAAAAGCAGAACCTGATAGTATGTTGTTTACAAGAAACACACTTAAAAATAAGAGACACACAGAGTAAAAATAAAGGGCTGGAGTACAACTTATTATGTTTCATCTGATATAAAAAAAGCAGGGGTAGCCATCATGATCTCAGACAAAGTTAAAGCTGAAATAGATTTAATTAAAAGAGATAAGCAGGGAAATTACATTATGTTAAAAGAAATCATAGATAATGAAGTAAATATCAATACTAATCATATACGCACCAAATGCAATAGCATCCAAATTTATAAAGAAAAAGGTGTATGAATTACAGATGGAAATAGATAGCAAAACTATAATAGTGGGAGACTTTCAGAACTAGATAAGCCTACCTCCAAAAATAAGTGAGAAGTCAAGGAGATGAATAGAATTTCAGATAAACTAGATATGATAGCAATCTGGAGAAAACTGAATGGGAATAGAAAGAAAGAAATCTTTTTCTCAGTGATACATGGCACCTTTACAAAAATTTACTCTCAGTGGATAGACCCTGGATTCAGGAGGACCTGAGTTCAAATCTGGCCTCAGACACATAACACTCCCTTGCTGTGTAACCCTGGGCAAGTCACTTAACCCCACTGCCTAGCCAAAAAAAAAAATTTACTCTCTGTTAGGGAATATAAACCTTCTAGTTAAAACAGAAAAGCAGAAATAGTAAGTTCACCCTTTTCAGATCATAATGCAATAAAAATTACATTTACTAAAAGACCATGGAAACACAGATTAAAAATTAATTGGAAACTAAGTAACCTATTTGTTTTTAGTTTAAAATGTCATAAGGTAGTTTTAAAAAAATTTTTAAATTTATTTTATTTTTAATTTATGGAATAAAAGAAGCAGTTCCATAACATAGTAAAATAAAAAGACAATTGCACATGAATTTGCAAGTCTATTATGTACAACTTAATTTTAGAGAATGAGTGGGTGAAAGAAGAAATCATAGAAATAATAAATAACTTTATGAAAGAGAATGATAATAATGAGACAATATACCAAAACTTATGGGATGCAGCAAAAGCAGTAATCAGAGGAACATTTATATCTTTAAATGCTTATTTCAAGATAATAGAGAAAGAGCAGATCAATTAATTGGATATGCAATTTAAAAAACTAGAAAAAGAACAAATTTTAAATCCCCAATTTAATACCCAACTGGAAATCCTGAAAATTTAAGGTGAGATTAATAAAATTGAATACAAGAGAACTATTGAATTAATAAATAAAACTAGAAATTGGTTTGATGAAAAAACAATAAAAATAGATAAAACATTGGTTAATACGATTTTTTTAAAAAGAGAGAAGAAAACCAAATAACTAGTATCAAAAATGAAAAGGGTGACTATGCCATCAATGCAGGTGAAATTAAAGCAATTATTAGGAGTTATTTTGCCCAATTATATGCCAATAAAATTAACAATCTAAGTGAAATGGAAGAATACTTATAAAAATATAAACCGCCCAGATAAACAGAAGAAGAAATACAATATCTAACTAAATCTATTTTAGAAAAAGAAACTGAACAGGCTATAAATGAGAGTCTTAAGAAAAAAAGCATCAAGAGGCAGCTAGATGGCACAGTGAATAGAGCACTGGCCCTGAAGTCAGGAGGACCTGAGTTCAGATCTGGCCTCAGACCAAACACTTGACACTTACTAGCTGTGTGACCCTGGGCAAGTCACAACTGCCTAAAAAAAAAAAGAAAGAAAAAGAAAGAAAAAAGCATTAGGACCAGATGGATTTGCAAGTGAATTTTACCAAACATTTAAAGATCAACTAATTCTAACATTAAATAAATTATTTGGAATAAAAGGCAAAGAAGGAGTTCTACCAAGCTCTTCTTATGAAACAACTATGGTGCTGACACCTAAACCAGGAAGAGCAAAAACAGAAAAAGAAAATTACAGACCAATTTCACTAATTGATGCAAAAATCCCAAATAAAATAGCTAAAATACTACAGCAGTATATCACAAAGATTATACATTATGACCAAGT